TAAGTCAACAAGAAAGTTATGATAGACTTCGATTGGCCTTTCACGATGAAGCTACATCTCGTGCCACTGTTTACAACTGGTTTAACGAGTTTAAACGTGATCGCACTAATATCTCCGATGATCTGCGTGAAGGACGGCCTTCTACGGCGACGACTGAAGGTAACATGTGTTGTGCGGCGTATGATAGAGACTGACAAAAGAGTGACTTATCAGCAGATTCGGACAAGCTTAGGCATTGGTATGAGTCAAGTGCACAAAATCCTCCATGAACATTTAGCGGTCAGGAAGCTTTGTGCCCGGTGGATACCTCATAATTAATAATATTTTGTGGGCATGTTGTTATCTTCTAGCTTTCTAGTTACAATTGAGATGCAGTCTTCGATAGGTAGGCATGTGAATAGAGACTGAACATCAAAACTGACCATAGTTACATTGTCAGCGAGATGTAGGTCTTTTATCTCACTGACAAAATGGTATGAATCCTTTGTGTGTGCTCTGGTGTGTCCTCTTAGTGGCGAAACACACAAATCCTCGCAAAAGAACACCGATTCCTACCAAGGATGATTCGCGAGGCTATTGAAATTAAAAAACATCCTAATTTCAATAGAGAAGATGGATGGGTGCTGCCATCTGCTTGGTATCCTATAATTATTAAAAATTAAATCCAAACCCAAGTATACCACTGCTAGACTTCACGATACTGTAAGCTCATTCTGCGTAAATCGAACCAAAAATTAATATTAAAAAACTGAAGGTAGCCGGGCTAACTATGACATCGGGACGTCAAACACCTCAGTCCCCCCCCCCCCCCCCCCCCGTGACCATGAGTACTGTAAAGCAGCCGAAACGTCGGGAATTAAAAAAGTTAAAATTAAACGCGATACAATCCGTAAAAAATGAGTTTCATTTAATATTTTCTGGGAATTGTTGTGTGTATATTGTAAGTGTGATATATTAAGTTAATGCTCTCATTGAATAATATTGACAATATTGTGAACACAATAAAATATGTTCTCAATTAGCGAGTAACTTTAAAAAAAAAAGATATTTCTTAAATCGTTAAATAGTTGATTTTTGCTTTAAAATAAATACCTATATTGCTACATGACTATTGCAATAACTGGTTTTCATTAACATGAATTACCTGTCTGTATATGTATGAAAATATACCAGATTCTAGTATACAATGAAAAAAAAATTAACATGTCTGAATATGTTTCGGTTTCGGCCGAAACTGACACCCAGAGCGAAGGTTCGTTTTCGATTTCGGTTGAAAATTCTGTTTCGGTCGGACACTAGTTGTTTTATTATAATAAATTTTATTAAATAATTTAAATTAACATTATAAAATTGCATAGAGGCTTACGAGGTCTACAGCCCAATTAAACATCAAAGTTAGTATTATCTTTTTACATCTTCTATACACCTACAAATTTATGTATATATGAAATGAAAATTTCGATTATTTATGAGTTGCTAGAGACATGATAATGAGTTCATGCACTGTTCACACTACGTAGATTATCTTTCTACTATTAAGATCATGATAATACTATTAGTTTCACATGAGATGGAAATAGAAATTGCATTTTGGTCAAAACTAAGAGGTGCTGTGTGTTGTGCTTCAAAAACGTAATGGGAGACCCATATTCATTGATTTGGTGAAGAATATCTTCAATCCAATTAGTTTAATAATAATATCTATATTATTTACTTTTTTACAGCTCATCAAAGAGTTCATTGATAATGAAAATAAGAGCTGCGATAAAAGATTTAGACGAAGAAAATCTTTAAAGCCCAATATTATGACATATGGAGTTTTAGCTTTGGCTTGTAAAACAAAAGAAAATGCTGAAAAATTACTTAATGAAATGAAGGAAAAACACCTAAAGTAAGTATGTTATGTGTAAGGGTTAGTTCACACCGAGACGTGAGGCGGCGCGCACCTTTTAAAATAGTGATACAAAATATAACTTTATTTACTACACAAAAAGATACACATTTTATTGAGATAATTCAAAAATGTCCGGCAGCTTCGCGCTACGCCGCGCTGCACCTCGAGATGAGTCGCGGCGTAGCGCGATGCATCACGACGCAGCGGTGATTCATCGGTAGGCGCAGGGTGCAAGTGCGGTGCGCTGCCAGCGACTTCACGATGCGTCTCGGGACGGCGTGCTGCGAAAACACTGGCCTCCTTTAGCATCGCCGTGTCGTCTCGTTGTGAACTGACCCTAAGCTTTTATTATATGTAACACTGTGTTGTAAATTCAATGATTATGTGAATAAATAGTCTTAAAGCGAAGGCTTGACAATGTTACCAAATCCCATTAAAAATAATGTTTTAAATGTGATAGAGCCATGCTGCAGCTATATTAGTAGTATAGTTATAGCACGAATGGGTCGGCTCGATCGGGGAAGGACCACGCTCTCACAGAATACCAGCGTAAATAAAAGCTTAACTCTGCTGTGTTTCGAGTGGTGAGTGTAGAGAACCGTAAACCTTTTTACTGGAAACGAGGCATTCCATCTTAGTCCTCACGGGTGACAACGCATCTGCATTTTGATTCGCAAACGAGGATAGATGTAGATGTCTATGGGCCACAGTAACCACTTACCATCAGGTGGACTGTGTGCTCGTTTGTCACCCTATCCTATAAAAAAAATGTTACTTTTATTTAAATACCTTTATAACGGTAGTATTAATTATTATTACTTTGTTACCGTAAAGCTAAGATCGTTGTACGCTTATGTTAGTTATCAAAAAATAACATTACTGAGTGAAATGTATTCTTACTTTATTAACCACAGAGCACGGTATCACCGCGCCGACACCAATGAAATTGTTAGTTGTAATTATTTTATTTAACACTTTTTTAACATGTGCGCGTTGTAATTTATGTCGTTTCATATGCAAAAAAAGTCCTGAATAGCTTGCAGTAAAAACTCAGTGGAAACCTTAAAATGGTCCACATGAATTAGTTGCCAAAATCGCGATTTTGTTGCTCCAACCAGTTTTGAGAAAATCGAATTACTTCTATCTTAACATTAAGATCATAAATAATTTAAATAATTATGAGAGTTTTTTTTATGTGTTCGATCCCGAGAAAGTTAACTACTATTTGTATGGAATAAAATCAGCGCCAACTAGTGGCAATAATCGAAATCACAATTCAGTAGTCAATATCGAACATGTAAAAAAAAACGCACTAGGCACACACAGGTTTGTGTAGGCAGAATAAGCTGACTGAATTTGTCCAACTAACAAATGGCTATCGCAATTACCGTTGCTTGACAAGCGCGGTGAACTTCCACACGACACCTTCCATGCTTCGGATAGAATTATTTCTTGTCGCTATTTACAGGCAAATGATAATGACGAGAAAAGCAAAGTAATGAAATTATATTGACTGTTTTAAAAATAAAAGCTTTCATTATGTGCAGTTTTTTATACTTTCAGAGTAAACATAGAAATTCTGGGAGCACTTTTGCGACATGGTACTGTACGCATGAAATTTGGTTACGTTCTTTTCATTATGGATGTGGTAAAACAAGAAAAACTGAGACCAAATGAAGTTTTTCTTAAACATTTAGAAGCTTTCCATGATAAATGTGTAAATAACATTAAGCATCACCATCAGGTATGTAATTGTTTTATTTTCTTTTGCTTGCCCACTAGATTTTCGGAAACAAGTCTGGTAGGAAATGGAAAACAAAAACGAAATTGAATACCCGTTTTTTTTTTTCAAAAGTATTAATCATATTATATTGTAATAGTTGGAAGCCTAAATACATAAAATTTACCTCAAGTATAAGCTTCACGCAGAACCAGACGACTTGGAATAGTCCATGTTATACGAAGGACCAATCCGCACTAACTGGCTGACTGTGTGAATATTATATGGTGTAACTAATAAGAGCTCAGTCTGCGCGCGGCACAGCACAGAATATATATTATTTTATACATACTCTGTACGCGAGAAGCAGTGAGCAGACATCACATAATGAAACTACATCGGCTATACTGACATAGATTAGAATCATGTAGGAATGAATTATCTGCATATTTGAAATTTTTTTCTTTTCCTTTTGTGTAAAATTTGTCGGAACCCGAAATCAAAGCAACCTGCACTTAGCCGGACTCAGGTAAACCAGAAGATCATCAGCCGAGTGACTTAGAAGCAAACTGTACGTACTGGCGGTCCCTAATCTGGTGATCCTCAAGGGTACCTAATGATCGAGTCCATATTGTTTCTCGATTCGCATTTGTTCGGGAGTTCGAGTTAGTAAGTTTGCAGAACTGAAACTAAGTGAGATTGAATCGAAAACGAATTCAATTTGAAATCAATTTCTGGAGTAATAAGAACTTAAGGTAATTTGTACCCCCGTAAGCGAAACTAGCGCAAATGGAATGGTTCAAATTGGAATTATCATTTTGTTGAGTAAAATTTAAATCGAGTCTACGGCCGGTCTTCTGAAACAATCTTGATTTTATACTCAAAATCCACAATTTATAAATTTGAGTCTAGCCCATACTAATTAAACCGATTTTTTACATTGTGAAGTTTGAATTTAAACTTGAGATATTAAACGGGACTCATTGTCTCAAATTTTATTGTGTATTTGAAGCAAGATTTCTATGGTTGCCTAGATATCAAGTTCCTAGTACTTACAAGTATATTGATAAAAGTAAAATTTATACCCATACTCTTGTATTTTCAGATTGAAAACAGTGACAAAAATTTTACTTTAGCATGTAAGAACTTTCTGAATAAATATAAAATCTGGCTTAAAGATGTACATATAACTGAAATAGAAACAGAACATCCATGGAAACAATTTATGGAACCCCAACCAGAAACAGTACAAAGGCAACATTTTGAAATAAAAGAACCTAAAAAGTTTTACAAAAGAAATCGTAAATATATTCGTTACACTGCGAAAGTATGAAATATAAACTGATGATGTAAAACGATTTGTATTTTAATTCAAATTTAATTTGCTTAAATTTTAATATGATGAAGCTTTCGGTTGAGCTCTTCAAACTTGAGTAGCTTGCGGATAAAGAAGTCACCATAGCGATGAGCTACCTTAGTGTCGGCAATATGGATCATGTCATTGTCGATATAGAAGTCCAACTGAAACAAAAAATTTATTACCAGTACCATACAGCTTATCAAAAGTCCACTGCTAAATATAGGTCTCCCCGATAGCCTCATTGGGGGGGATATATGCCATAGTTGCCACACTTGGCAACCGCGTTTTATATTATTTTAATTTTTAGAAAGGCGCCTCTGTCCATCGCGTTTGTTTCCTTCTGTCGCCTCATACATCACTCACGGAACGATATGGGGCAGTGGATCTTCTTATTTCTTACACCGCCACTACACGATATCAGACATGATTTAAAAAAATTAAGCACGAAACAAAAAAATTCCAAAGTAATTTTGATTAAATTGTAAATTACGATAAGTGCCTACTGCAGCCTATAGGTAGTTCTAGGTGCCAACCAACTTAACACAAACACAAGGCTACAAATGCGTTGTCACTTCTGACGACTATGATGGAAGGTCTCATGGGCTGTTATTATTCTAGCTCTCTTTACATTTCAGACCGAAACAGCAGAAACTCCAAACTTAAATGGTTTATAACTTGGCAACGACAGCACCACATATCTGATCTTAGCATAACTATGAACTATACATATCAGAAGTTACGCAATCACTAACAGACACGCCTCATAACGCGAAGCGTTTGGGACAGGGATTGAATAACCGAAAAAAATATGGTTAAAACGGTTAGCGGTATGACGTCATTCCTTTTTCGATACCTTAAAATAAAGGTACCTGTATAATTTCGATATTGTAATATTGCGGTATCATTACTTTTTCAAATATCTAAATTATAAAATAAAGGTTTTCTTTGTACGTCCGCGCCGAGGCGTCGCGCGGCGTGTCGGCCGCAATAGTAAGAGAGTAGGTACTTGATCGAATATTTACTGATATTTGTTATTCCTGACTCGGCAGCACGACAAAGCAGGTTGTTTTGCCATTTTGCCGCCATTCATGTTTCCGCGTTTACTTTGTTTATCAACTTAATCACAAGTGTGCTTTGTTGAAACTTTACAACTAGATTGTCGCTAATATGGATAAAAGTAACTACAAACTCATTAAGCATGTCTTAACCGATTCGTTGCGACACCAATTTTCGACAACTTTTAGAGCTGTGCCAGCGAACAAATATTTTGTGACACGCCTGTCGTATCAAGCGCCATATATATAAGTAAGCCGCTGCCGCCGCGTCGCACGCTCTTCATCGCATCGTTTTTTTCGGTACCGAAATTATTTCGATATCGAAACATCAAGGTCAAGCAATTTTGTGGTCTTAAAATGCCTCTATCATAACCATATTGCACTTATTCGATAATATGAGTAGCTAGTATCAAGAAAACACTTAATTAATCCATCTTATATTTTCTAAAAAATCGTTTTATATTGCAACTGAAAAAAAAACTGGTTTTAAAAAACAATTACGTGGCCGTCCGGATGTTGATTTTGTATGTAGTCGCGATAACTCCCGAAAAAATTCACGTATATCGGGACCGGAATTTTTTATTAGGATCAGAAAGAATTACATTCCGTATTTCATATCAATAGCCTAGTAGTAGTAGTTTGTTAATAAAATTATTTTCAACTTATATAAGTTTTATTGCTAAAAACTTAAAGGCGCTTTCATATTTTTTTAGCCCTTGATAGACAAAGGATAAATGTACCATACGGCCTATATCGATTTTATATTTTGTGTTTTCGATTTATTTTGGTACACATTATTCATTTTTAACACGTAAAGAATATATTTTAAGTCAGGAATGCAATTTAAATTTTTCATCAAAATTGAATGAAACGCTCATGAGACGTGCACTTTTGGATTTTCCAAACTGTTTATTTATTTATTTATATTAACAAGAAAATATATATAAGGAACTTCATCTAACTCATCACAAGTGGTAATGCAACTATAGTCTTCTTTGTTTCGACTTAACTGCACGTGATTTTCGTTAAGGGCACCTCACCTTCACAGCCCATAGCTGTGAGGGTGAGGTGATTCGACTCTTATCTATATTTTATATATAAATTTCCTTATGTGTTTGCCACTGAACTCCTCTTAAATGACAGAAAATTTATTGTGTGGTTTGAGTGGGTCCCTGAATAGTTTAGATTAATAATTGAGACCTAGTGTGTGGCACTGTTGCCCATATCCAGAAATCACCCGTGTGAAGCCAGGGCGGGTCGCCGAGGCCTACATATCATATGAACTGTGAGGGGTGAGGTCATTTGAGACTCTTATGTCAAATAAAAATCTTACCTCTGAGCCACTTTGGAACTTCCCATCGAGTCCGCTGGGCCCCTTGGTCCAGACGACGTTCTTCATCTTGTGCTTGAAGCAAAGCAGATGTATGGCGAGGGCGGCGTGCTCGCGGGCCGCGTCGCGCTCGCCGCCGCGCGCCGCCGACATGAACGCGGCCAGCTTCGCCAGGGGCAGGGTCGTGTACAGCTTCAGGTACGACCGGATTGTTGGTAACATTTTTTGTTGGCGGACCTGTTCATAACAAATAATTATCACAGAGCCGTGGTAGCGCAGGGGCTAAGCGCTCGCTGTAAATTACACAGTACGCGAGCAACCCGGGTTCGAAAATTTCAATTTTAAGTCATGATTTACTACGTGCTCGACGGTAAACGAAAACGTGAAAAAATTCGAAGATATGTGCGAACATTTCCAAGCCCGAAATCCTCTCAAAAATGAGAGGAGGCCTGTGACCAGCAGTGGGACGTATATATGCTGTAACTTTAATTAATACATTTATATTAATGAACTAGAGATCCGCCCTAGCTTCGCATAGGTGAGATCTATTAATGTAGCGTTATTTAGATTCAAATCGACTTCGCGCGGCAAACCATCGAACATTGGTACACGCTCACGCGGCAGCCGCGCACAGTGGATACTGTGCTGCCGCGCGCGGTAATTCGAACATTGGCGCGCTCGAACGTGCCGCGCGACGAACCAATCTGTGTAGGTTTTTAACGGCGCGGCAAAGAATCTCAGTGAGTTGTGCTTGCGCAGTTGGGACGGTCGTTTAAGTATTTTAGTTGGCGCGCGCGGGAAAAACATGGATAACGACAAGTACGTACTTTAATTAGGTTATATGGTACTAAAGAATTTCTATGGAACAGTAAATGTAGTGATTATCACAACAAACCGCTGCACTTCGCCGACGTACAACGTCCATGATTGCCGCGCACAAAATGAACGTTCATTAGCGGATCGGCTGCCGCGCGCGGCTGCCTCGTAGTTGAATTGTGCGCTAAAATTGACTCGCGAGCCAAAACACAGGTTTGTCGCGGACGAACAATGCTTGCGCGGCAGCCGCGCAAAGTCAATACGTAGCTTAAGATAAGCAAAAGCCATTGACTTCTAAAAAAAACTTTTCAAAATAAACTCAGTTTTTCGGATAAAATATAGCCCAGATCACTCCCGGTAATAATCTTTGCCTGTTTGTGAAGTTTCATAAATTATTTATGTTTTGCATGCAAATAAACCCCTCAGCTCAATTAAGTATAATATTCCTTTGGTGGAAGATCAAAGTTTTTGGCAAAAAATATTATATCTCAATTAATAAATAAAAAATAAAAGCATAATAATGGCTAAAGTATCTTAAAAATCTATTATTATGAACTAAACAATGGAGTATTTCGTCTATCTATTTTCCTAAGTGTATACCATTTCAAAAAGTATTATTCGTTGTTCAAAATCACATCTGAAAAACAATTTCCTACATGTTTGCCTGAGTGACAACTTGGATAGCGGATTAAAGATCGCAATACTGGCGGAAACAAGATGGTTAAACAGCCATTTATTGGAAGCCATAAGATTTTTCTAGTATTTCCCTTTTACGATACCCACTACCACAGCATTCCTAAGTACATTCTTCAAAATGATGATTTCAAAGAGCTAGAAGCTGCATATACTTCCAGATGTCACACTGAACTTTATGTAATTTAGGCTATAGTAATCACCTCGTCCATAAACACTTGCGTCTGGTGCTTAACAGCATCACGACCGTAGTTGGAGCCCGGCTCAATGGGCGGTGGGCACGGTGACAAAAACTTGGGGCATGCAAACGTGAAGCAGCTTTCGAATTCGCCCAGGTCTCCATACTGCATTTTGAACATCTTTTCATGGTAATTTTTTTCGCGGAGTACCTAAAAATACAAAAAGAAGATAATAGATGACAAGATGGACAATATTTTCAAATTGGCTAAGAACATAAATTCTGACAAGATTATTAAGTAGTCTCATTTTAACAACACTCCAGCCTCTTAATGTAATATGTTGTGCAAACAAAATCAATAAGTTGAACTAAAAATATTATTAGAACTTTGTTATTATGTAAAGAAAAAACCTAAAAAGCACCATAAACAACCTTAACATATGTAATACTTTCGTTAATTTGTATTGTGTCATTATTTATGCATATAACCTGTGTATAGAATGCACAAACCTGCTGTATAGACTCATCAACACATTGCGGATGTAGGACTAAGCAAATGGCCAAAAGATGATACATCTGCTCGGTCTGTTTGTTGATCTGATCATTCTGGTAGGACCGTGCCGAAAACAGTTGCTTTGTACGCTGTATATAGAGAAGCGCAGAAGATAACGTGCGAATAGCATCAGCGTAACGGCGCATCATCATGTATGCGAAGCCAACATAGTAAGAGGTTGAAACCTGGCACGCAGGGACATGCGAATACTGCGACTTTTTGTGCAGTTCTATGTTTTCCAAAACCTGAAAACAAAAGTATATTTTAATTTTTATATTGTTATGAAATACATATTTAACTGATTCGTTGCGGCACCAATTTTCGACAACTTTTAGCGGTGGCGGCGAACAAATATTTCATCCATTCGCCACAGACAATGACACGCCTATTGTGCCATCCGCCATGTGTAAAAGTAATGTTCTTTTTTATGCTTTTTTTACTTGTTTAGACCTAATTAAGTTTATTTGACATCAAACATAAGTTACAAATTGAAGGATACTTGTTTTTACTGGGTAACTACGTGTCTTTTACGCGTTTTCTTTGAAATTGAGAGAAAGTGACTTTTTTTTATGAAGAGATTACAAACCTTTTGTGCTATTTTTTGTTGTTATAAAAAAATCATTTATATAAGTAGGTACAGCTAAACCACCCTGGAAACCTTGGTTTTTATTACATTAAATTTTCACCTAATAATAACATTTGTAAATATCAAACAATGAAGAACCTTAATTTGAAAAAAAAAATAAGGTATATCATTCATTGATATTTACAAATGTTAAATATTATTTAATGTTATACAAATGTAAAAGTAAAGTCGATCTGAAAACGTCTAATTAGTAAGAATAGCAAAACAAGTGTTTTCAAAAGGAAAAAAACGCCGGCGCTATACGGCGGCGGATTGACAAAAGACTATTCATTAGCGAACGTTTTTTATGCATGAACGGTTTCGAACTGTTTCAAGCAAAAATAAACCATATCACAAGAGCACATGGTACTTCGTAGGTCTATTCGGCCATATGATAGTAATAAGACGGCAGTTCAATCATTTCAAGCAAAATTAAACAATAAGACAAACGCATTGTTTTTTTTTTTAACAGGAGACTTGTTTTCCAGAAATTTATTTACAACTTGAGTTTATGAGCGATCGCAATGAGTGCTATTATTTGTTACTTATTAGACAATTTTTCCATAACATGATTTAAAATCCACAAAGTAAAAATAGTACCTTGTACACGTTAAAAAAAGGTTGTCAACCCCTAAAAATTTCAAAGAGCAATGGCAGAAAAATAGTTGACAAAAATTATAGCGTCTAGAAATAAGTTATATATAAAATGAATTTTATTATTTTTCTATGATTTTTAAAATAAAAATATATTTTAATTAAAGCCACAGAAAAAAACAAACATTTTTGGAAATATCAAATGACTGATATCATTTTGCTCTATTCAAATGTTGCCATTTCGTATATTCCTACTATTTTCGTATACACTTTGTAACACTACCAACACAACACACAAAATATTTTTATATTAAGTTATTATTAGTAATAACTGTACTATCAGTAATAACAAAAATAAAAGTAATATGGTTGAGAATAAGTCTCTTACAAAGAATTTCCTACAATAATACATTATCTCATTCATAGTACTATGTAACAATTCCATTTAATGTTATGCCAACACTACCTAAATTAAAATGTCTCTGTTTTTTTACTGGCTTTACGGCTCTGGGTTCTAGCCCTTCTGAGAATGTCACTATGGTACAAAAGCCATGGAGCCATGTCAGAAATATACATTTATAGTATGCAAATATATAATAGAGATACAATAATCTTAAAACGTATTATGTATTAAGCTAACATCAAACAACCACAGGAAGCATGACTTTTTCCAAGTGACATAGGACATAACCTAAAAAGGTTCAAATGTAAATATCTTTTTTTTGACGCCTTCTCAGTACAAAATACTTTGACAGAGTTATTAAGGGAATGAAGCTTAACATTTTAAGATATTTTTGGTATATAGACGCTACCATTTCTTCTCAACTAATTTTATGTATGAAAGTCTGCCATTGCTCTTTTCAAAATATCCAGAAACGAAGCTGCATGCATGAACTACTCGCAAAATAATGAATATTTTGTTCTGGATAAATTTTCCAAAAAAGCAATTTGAGCGAGTTATAACGATTTTTAAAAAGACACGACTCGCATGTCATATGCCACACACAAAAGTAATCGATGGCACTCCTGGCGTGTCACCCGCATTGAACCGGTTAAAATATCATATTTTACATATTAGACACTTTACAAATGTTACTATTATTTATAATTAAGTGAATGTGATAGATTTTTTACATAATCACTTTTTATATCACATCACTAAATTTTGTGATTTGTTGTTTATTTTTTTTTTATAGTTCTTAGATTTTGTACCATTTTAGACAATTAAGCATTTTCTGACCTAACAAGCGTTCAAAAACCATTTTACCTTGATAGCTTGGTAGTAGTCACCAAGCAATGAGTGCAGTCTAAGAAGACCGACCAAAGAGAAATATCCCAACATCTTGTACAAGGAATGGCGGCCAAATTCCCCGGCAACAGAGTCTGGATCGCCACCAGCAGCATACACCTATTTTAAAATATGTAACAATTGACATTATTCTACAATAATACATTTATTATATTTTATGTTATAATCATTTGAAGAAAAAAAAGTACTCTATTAAGTATATATCTTTTTCCAACTGATTATATACATGAATGATATTTACGAGGCCAGCGTGTATATTAGAGGTTATCACGAAAATAGAAATAAAATAATTTTGGATATTATAATACTCATTATCATTCATTAACATTATGTGCATACTTATAAGTTCATTTTTAATAACTAAAAGAAAAAACACATTTACAAGTGTTGCACTGCCAAATATTTTCGTGACACTTTCTTTTTATAGATGTTTTCAGTTTCGAATTGTTGAGTTTAATTATGTAAGTGTATTTGCATTCAGATAAACAATTTTATCAAAAATAAATTGAGGGAAACATAAGCATGGGCGTCATTTGAATTCAATTTTACTTAGGAGTTTTGGCGGGAACATGACCCGTGTGGCGGTGGCTTACTGCTCCTGTATTATTGTTAAAAAAATTGTTTGAAGTGGAGTTTGATACTTAAAAGTGGTGCGATTTTGTGTATTAAGTGTCTACGCATGTGAACTATTAGTGGAAACGGTGAAACAAGTGCTCTAATGGTGATGTGATTCTCAAGATAAGGTTGTCTGCTTAGGCGCCTTGAGATAAAATTGCCAACTGTCTGCTGGCTCAAGTTGCCGTCAAAATCTCCCAAGGACTGCAGTGTGACGCATCAACATATTGTGAAGCAGTGTACTATGAAGGATAATTATACATTTGTACTATGAAGGATAATGATACATTGAAAAATGGAAGACATGGCTGACGCACAAACCGTGCAGGCCAAGATATAGGGAAAAAAAATTTACTTAGTAACTAATATAACAGGAATTCACCATTATAGATATTATATTTTTCAAAAACGGCACTTAAAATTAGTTAAATAAGTAGGTTACTATAAAACACGCTCGCGCCAACAGCATGTATTGTATAGCAGACTCAGTGAAGTGCGCTAGCACAAGGTCGGCCGGCCCCCTGCCCCGTAAGGCCCCCACCGTTGCTCTGCACAAGTACATTCGTTTAACAACTGTAAGGTCTAAACTGCGCTATAACTAATACAACACTCCTTGCCCGCGGCGACTATACAACTCGGCCGTACTCTGGCAGAGTTGTATAGTCAACTCGGCCAGAGTACACAATCCTCTTCCCCCACCACTTCAACCCAACTGCAGCGAAAAGTGTTGAAAGGTGTTTTCTTATATTTACTTGAATACAAGTAATTTAAATAGAAATGATTAAATAAAACAAATTTTATGGTATAACGAAAATGTATTATAAAATAAAAATTTCATCAAGTTAGTTTGTCCATTTCAAACAATTCACTCCAGATAAACTGAAGGTTTGTTTTGTATTTTTACTGACACCAATTTAGGATTTTGATCAAATCAGATAAATTTAGAGCCGTGGTAGTTCAGGGACTAAGGGCTCGTATTTTTCGCAGTACGTGAGCAAACCGAGTTCGATCCACAAGCACTGAGGGCTAATAATTATCTGCTCACCAGATGTCGCTAGTTGACGCAGAGGTGAAGTCTTTTGTTACACTATCATTTAACTGAGAAGTTAGTTATAAATAAAAGTTTATCAGTTTCTAGAGTATTATAATATACAAAACAATGCCTCAGTGGTTTGTTCTTTAACTTTTTGCACGTTTTAAAGTATTTTTTTTAATTTTTCTATTTTTATGAATATCTATGTTTTGATTTATTTCTTTTTAATCAATTTTCTTTTAATTAATATAAAATATAAGTAATGGTTCAGAAAGAAACATTAACATTTACATTTTTCGAACAAATTAACTTCCCCGTTATGAAATCTGTCAAATATTACACCTCATTCTTAAGCGACGCCGCCCTGATGGCAGAAAAAGTCGTGGAGCCCTCATTGAAATTCTTGGGAAAAAATTAGCACAACTTGATTGGCCATCCACCACCATTCGTTGTCTTAGAAATTTAATTTATTTATTCTTTTTTTTTTTAATATTATATCCCTACTAGCTGTTCCCCGCGACTTCGCCAGCGTGTAATTTATTACGATTGGATTTCATGAGTTTTAATTATTTTGTGCGGAATCCTAATTCTTTTTCTAAAATAAAAGTAGGCTAAGTTACTCCTTATAACATCAGCTACCTTACCAGTGAAAGCCCTGTGAAAATCGGTCCAGCCGTTTCGGAGATTAGCCGAAACAAATAGACAGACAGACAAATATTTTAAAAATTGTGTTTTTGTTATAAATACTGTATATAATTTCATATTAGTAGAAAACTGTTATTTTGACCATTACAAACAGACACTTCAATTTTATTTATTTGTATAGATTATACACTAAAAGGCCATATATCTTGGAGAACCGCCAACCGATGGGTAAGAAAGGCCCACCACTAGATGGAGTGACGATCTTGTAAGATATGCAGGAAGTCATGCGCACCTCAGGGTGAAGGGTTATTATGAAAGATGTGCTCTCAAAATGAACTTATTTGCATTTTTGAATAAATATACTATGCTTGTACATAAAATATATTCAAATTCTCATACTTCTGCAAAACACTTTGTGTTAAAATACATATCTTTCTAGGCCTCTAACTTTCAAATCAACATTCTTTTTACAGTTCCGTTTTGTACAAGCCTAGATAAAAACGAGACAAGTCCGTAATATGCCTATTTTTGGATGTACATTATCAAACAGTGGATAGATCAATCTTCTACATTAGTACGGAAAAATGATCGACTAGCACAGCCTTAAGCCAGAGTGTTACTAAATAACATAATGAACAATAAAAACTTTTAAATATTTATCACTAAACCCCCCAAAAGTTTAGAATACCAACATCATGGGGTTTGTGCGGTTCTTACGGTGCCACAATTTGAAGGCGGATTCGCATAGGATTTCAATGAGATACAGTGAAAATTAAGAATAAAATATCTCACTTAGTTTCCGAGATATCGATACTCAAAAATCGAATACTAGAACCGAATCAGTAAGCCCCGTCTCCATGTAGTCTTGTCTGTCTTACCCCTAGACCCTAGTGTTTTTGTAAAGTCGTAGGCGCGAAAGGGCAGCAGCCCCGCCCGCTGTAGCAAATAGCAGGCTCTTGTGTGAGCCATACTGACTGAACCTGGTCACTGCAGGCCAATAATACCAATAAGCCAAAACGAATGTGAGCATGGGTGCCTGCGATTTGCTACGCAAGGGCGAAGCGGCTGCACTTCCCGCAGCACTGAAGCCATTGCAGAAGTAACTTTGGGTCAAAATTTCTGTGCACAAAAAAATTTTTGAGTATCAATATCTTGGAAACTAAGCGAGATATTGAAAAATTTTATTTTTACTTTCCGGCGTATCTCGTCGAGATTCCTTTAAATCGTGGCGCCGTAAGAACCATAGTCGTGCCAACATAATATTAAAATTATGATTTATTGAAATAAGTTCTTACCTCAAGCTGTCTTTTGATGTTTGATTTGTCAACAAGAGAATGTAAAACATTGAGAATGCAAAGAACATTCCAGGCCTTATTTTCAGTATTGAGTGTATCAATTTCAGCTTGGCTCAGTTTTGAAGTTCTTGACCTGATAAATAAATAAATTAGGAATGTTAGTAGAGTAATTTACAATAGTGTAATTAAATATGAGCTACAGAACATGAAAAAGTTAAAGGAAATAAAAAAGACATGTTGCAAAAAGACTTTTCTTTTTATAGGATAAGGGTGACAAACGAGCACACAGTCCACCTGATGGTAAGTGGTTGCTGCGGCCCATAGACATCTACATCTATCCTCTGTTACAAATCAAAATGTAGATGCGTTGTCACCCGTGAAGACTAAGATGGAATGCCTCGTTTCCAGTAAAAAGGGCCTCCGGCCACCTGCACTCACCAAGCGAAATGCACATCACATAATAGCTGACGCACATATTTCTTACTAACCAATTGATTAAGATTCTAAATTATTTATTGAATATTGTGAAATTATAAACTATAAGTTAAAAATGTTTATAATTTTATTGATTTTTCCTTTCCCCCCTTCGTTGTGAAGCAGGTAAACATCATTTTATTTTTACAATCTTCTAAATCTATTTTCAACAAAAGAGCGATTATCCAAGCATGCTTTCTGGTTTTTTTTTTTTTCAGTACTAGAGTTTTCCCCTTACAAACTGCTGAGAGCATGTGAATATTTTTCATTTCACATCAACCATGTTTGTGATAATGATTTCTTATATTTACGTCAACACTACACATTGAATAAAAGTACTTTTATGGATACTATCACATTTTATTCATTTATTTTTAAATTCCTGACGTTTCAGGTGCTTAACAGCACCCATGCTCAGGTGGGACTGAGGTGACTGACATCCCGATGTCAGAGTTAACCCGTAAGTTGTTTCACATCAGCCATGTGTTCACTAACAAACACCAATGTTCTGGGAAGTCTGCAGTTTGTGATCATATCCTAGATGGGCCCCGCCATTACATTAGATTTTACAGACCACAAATTCTCGCGAAAAAACACAGATTTATGTGAGACTATTGCAATTAAAAAACATCCTAATTTCAATAGAGAGGGCTGGATACTACCACCTGCTTGGGATCCTGTAATTAACAAAATTAAACTTAACCCAAGCATACCACTGCAAGACTTCAAGACACACTAAGTTTATTCTGCATAGATCGGACCTAAACTAATAATTAAAGCTGAAGGTACTCCACGTTAACTCTAACATTGGGACGTCAGTCACTTCAGCCGAAACGTCGGGAATTTAAAAATAAGTTAATTAAATGCAATCAAATCCGTAAAAGTAATTTTATTCCATGTCTGAGATGCCAGTGTAAACAAAACCATTACATGTGCTCTTAGTGCATCTCGCTCAAAGTATGTTTTCCCTACCAAATATGACACATGCTAGTTTTACTTATTTTTTATATTCTGTGATTTAAACAATGCTATATGTTCTATAAACCTATATAATTAATGTTTTACCTGTATTGGGCAAATGACTGAAACTGGTAAACAAATTCATCAATAAGTTCCCAAAGCCACTGGTCAGGTAGTTCTAGAGGTACAGGTGTTTCAGCAGACAGAATATAGTTAAACAGATCACAGTAGTTGTAGAATGAATGGAATCTCTGCTCTGGTTTAGGACCTCCTGGTACTCGGGAGTAAATATCACGATAGTACAATTCTTTATACAAGATCATAAAAACCTTAAAAGAAATGAATTTATAATTTTAAAATTGTAGTTTGTAGCATATATAACAATTTATTAATAAAAATTATGTTAACTTACATGATCATTATCCACAATTGGTGCTACTTCATTTTCATCAGGCCATGGAGTATTTTCAAAATATTGCTCTGTGAGCTTTGGGAAAGTGTTTTCATATAAGTTTAATATTTCAAATGTTACTCCCTCAGTGATCATGTTGCGAAAATAAACAAGAAACTTCTTGACCTGTAATATATAACAAATGTATAAATCTAGAAGGTTTTATTAGGTAGTTTTTGTTAGGTATTCTAGAAGCGCTGGGCGGGATGAGCAACTGGGATAAACGCTAAGAAGTAGAAGAAGTATAAATCTAGAAGGTTTTATAGTATTCACAAAAGCGAAACATAATTTGAATGTAAGTATTGAAATAAATAATTTTTTATTGAAATTATTTATATTATGCCACAAATTTACATTATTTATGTTATTGTGTTTCCAGCATAATCATGGTCATTGTCGTTCTGTCACTGCAAATTTATGTAAACCTTCCAGTACTTACTGTTAAATAGCTGTACATTATATGCCACATATAATATGTCAGGTGTTTGTAAACAATTTAGGAAAACATTTTCCATTACATTGGAAAACTGGACTATCAAAATGGCTCCATCTGTACTTGCATATTTAGATAATAATAAGGTAAATACAAGTTTGAACTAATATTGGTCATTTCTATTTACTGTAACATTTACTTATTATGTATAGATCAAATATTTCTTTCCATTCAAAAATAAATTTACAGATTTTACACTGAAACTATTTGAATTATTTTGTCATACTCTCTATAATTGGCTGGCAAATTAACAATTGCACTACCAGAATTCTGGCATATCAGACTACACCACCGTTTACATGCAACATCATTTTTGTTTTGTAATTCTTTCATCCAGTCCATTTAAAGGGAAATACTGATTAGGTACATTGATATATTAAAAGAGGAAGATACGTCACTAAATCACAGGGCCCGGTCCTACAAAACTACGGGAGTGCCCGTACTTGGCTTGCAGTGACACTCAGTCGGGTGCGGAACATTGTTGATCATATAGCTTGTTAATTTCAGTTTTTTTGGTATTAAATATGCATTAAAATGACTTCTTGTGCAGCTAAACAGTGTTCTAATATAATTCAATAATGTAGATGTACCTAATTAATAATTAAACTGCTTAATGTTTTTCTTTCGATATTTATCAGCTAAAGCTACCACAATGTCATTCATAATCATAAACATTCGGCAGCTAACGTGATTTTGTTCACACAACTATGAAGGTTCCTATCTCTGTGCTTGTCTATCGGTAAATGTATTTTGCGATTATGATAACAGATGTGTAAGTTTTGGTGCATGTAGTCGTACGCCGAACCCAGGTTTAGTGATTGCGATATTAGCGCGTAACATATCTTCCCCTTTTAATATATCCATGATTAGGTATGTACTTTTAATTCAATAGTTTACCCATCCATCCATAACAGCCTGACTTATATCACTGCTGAATGTAGGCCTGCCCCATAGAGTGCCCCATATGGAGAATTTTGCCCTAGTTACCACGTCTGTCAGGCGAGTTGATAACCGCAGTAATTGTAATTTTGAGCTGTTATCAGGAAGGTGCTGCTATCCACCTCCTGATTCAGTTTCCCTCAGTCTATTCTTATGACACCCACGGGACGATATGAGGCTGTGGATATTCTTACACCGCCTCTACACATTAAGTAAGTACGTAAAGTGTATCAAGCATTACAAAAATTTGCTTACCATATCAGGCATTTTGTAGTATGATCTATCGTAGTCCAAATCATATTGGGGGTCACCTGTATGAGGTTCATATTCACTATAGGATTCGTATCCTCCCTGAGAAAGTGAGAAAATATAATTCTAATTGAGCCACGACTTAGTTTGACATAAAACTAACCAACAAAAAAGTTTTCGTAAAAAATTAATACAAGCAATTATAACAATATACCTCGTTATAATCATCACTTGAATACATTGTATTTGATTTTTATGTTGTTGCTTATAAAACTTAAACTGTACCAATAATTATCAAAGTCCACCTTTAGGTTTTAAAGGGGATGAAAGATGAAATGAAACCACAGATTACTGTATACCAGTCTACGAAATGAAACTGCCATACAAATTTACAAGAATAAAAAATGCATTGATAGTTCTGCCCTCTAGTGAACTAGGTACATAAACTTGTAGGTTAGTTTTTTTCAGCGTTGTATAGATGGCATTAATTAGGCCAAAACCCCAGAATCCAAAGCCCAAAAAATCTAAATCTATGGCAGTTTTGGTCTATGGTTATGGTTGACACACTCGGTTGACAGTTCTTTCTCAGAAATACGAATATTGATATTTGACATGTAACCTGTAAACAGAAAAAAGCGCGGGAAGTTTTGAAGTAGGCGGGCGTCCTTTTTTGGCTAAACTTTTGAAAATTAAATTAATTTGATATTACAGGATCAGTTAAGTTGTAAAGTATATATATTAGTAGTTATTGTTGATTATTTATAGTTTTAGTTTGATTTCTTCATCTGGTAAGTCATTTCATTGTATTATATGTAAATAGGATTTTTCTCTTGGCGTCCATGTTGGAGCCCGAAGACCCTGGAGGGACATCCCTCCAGGTGTCTCATGTAGTCACAATCGATGCGTCGGGAATGGAAACGGAAGGTTCAATTATAGATACAGACTGTTCGGAAAACACGAAATCGGTGAAAAGAAAGAGAATTTCAGCTAGAAACCAAAAGAAGAGAAGGAATCACAGACAAACGGGTCTATCAGATTGCCAACTTTCCCCTAACGATTTAAAGGATAATGTTATTACTAAATTGCTTCATTCTGATGATAAAAACACTGAAATTCACCATAATGATGCCACTCACTCTAACAATATAACAAGTAACCCTCGCGCTGCTAGGTCGCTTTACCAGGCGTCAGATCCTGCGCCTTATGTTGTCCATGTTCAAAAAATCTTATAACCAAATCAAACTGGATCTATTCACCCAGTACAATTTGGATTTTTCCTTAAAAAAAAAATAATAAAAAGCATTGTAGAGGGAAGCATCAAAAAAATTGGAAGAAACAGATTGTCTTTACAATTTGAAACATTTCAGGATGCTAACACATTTCTAAATCACAAATCTCTTGATGTTAATAAATACAAAGCATTTATTCCAGCCTTCACTATCACCCGTATGGGAATAGTGAGAGGTGTTCCATGTGACTGGGATGAGAAAGATATAATGGAAAATATTGACCTTCCGCAGAACTGTGGAAGTATTTTGAAAGTTCGGAGATTAAACAGAAAGGTATATGATGGCGAGACGCCCAAGTTCATTCCAACTGAGACCGTAGTTTTAACCTTTGATGGGAAGGTGCTACATCCCAGGGTCTTTATATGTTTCAACTCCCTATCTGTAGAGCTTTATATTTACCCCACGCTGCAATGCTTTAATTGCTGCCGTTTTGGTCACACCAAAATGCAATGCAGATGCTCTCCAAGGTGTTACAAATGTGGAGACAACCATTCAGGTATAAGCTGCGAGACTGAAAGAGATGATGCTGTGTGTATCTTATGTTCTGGTTCCCATTTCGCCACAGACAAAAAGTGTCCGGAGTACGCTAGGCAAAAAGCTATAAAAGAAACAATGGCTAGAAACTCTATATCTTATTCAGAAGCCAGTAAAGTCCATCCACCAGTTTCGAAATCTTATGCTGACGTTGTTGCTTCTGCTTCATTGGCCCCTTCTGGTCGAACTATTACTTATTCCAGCCCCTATAATTCAACAAGCCCTTCTAAGAGTCACACACAGTCATATAGGAAAACAGTATTCTCGAAACCCAAAGCTCGTCCCAGAAATACTAGTAAGGGATATGATCAAAAAGCGCATGCAGAGCTTATCCAAGATTACAGCAACATTCCTTCCTTTTCTACAGGTTGTCTCAAAAATTACAAAGGTCTATCAGAAATAATAACAAAGGATCTCATCATTTCTATAATTCAGTACCTTTCACAATCTAACTTAATTAAAATACCGTCCAACGATGCCGCTTCTTCAAAAAGTTTTTTAACTCATGGACAGTCAGGACCATCCACGAAACCAGTCTCTGGTGATTCAATGGAATTGCCGGAGTATTAATAGCAAAAAAAGTGACCTAATTTTCTTATTGAATAGTTACAAACCATTTGCAGTCTCTCTTCAAGAGACTTGGCTTCGTCCCGGATTCAACTTTAGAATTCCAGGACATATCTGTCTTAGAGAAGACAGAACAGATGGGTATGGTGGAGTTGCACTAATTCTGAAGGGCGGTGTGCCCTTTGTCCACATACCCATACCTAATCACAGTAATAAATTTTCAATTATTGCTGTTAGTGTAAATAATATTTGTTTTGTAAATATGTATATACCTCACCCTTCCACTGAAGTCTTTGACGATATTCGTAGCATTCTATCTTCCCTCCCACGCCCTATATTGGTCATGGGAGACTTCAATGCACAACATTCTATGTGGGGAAGTTCTAAGTCTGATCATTATGGGGCTAGAATCTTAGACATCTTAGATGATAATAATTTATGCCTTCTAAACTCTGGTTGTCCTACTAGAAGGACTCGGCCCCATGAGGGTATTAGTGCACCAGACCTTACCCTGTGTAGTCCCTCCCTAGCTTCTACATTAAACTGGTGGCCTCTATCGTCGTCATATGGAAGCGATCACTTTCCGTTAATTATATCATTTCCTCAAAAAATTGGCGAAAAGATGTCTAAGGCTCCTCCCCGGCTAAAATATAAACTTAAGGATGCCAACTGGTCATTATTTAGAGATAAAGTTCAACAAAATTTATCAACTATACCTCCACTAAATGACAACAATAATCATCTTTGTGCTGAAGCTTTTACACGGGCCCTACTACAGGCTGCTGAGGAAGTTTTTCCTATAAAAAATAATAGTGGCAATGGGTATATTCCATCACCTCCTTGGTGGGACAGTGAGTGTTCTGCTGCGATAGCTGAGAGAAAGATAGCTGAAACAAAATTACAGAAAAAATTCTACAACACAAAATTTTAATATTCTTTGTAATCTTATAACTAAAACACGTAAATTATTAAAACAAAAAGATTCAATGGCTGGAAATCTTTTTGTGCCTCAATTTCACCAGACATTTCTCCATCTAAAGTTTGGCAAAATATTCGTAGATTCAGATCCGCTTTTAAGCCTCCAAGGTCTCCTTTTATGGATAGCAGTACAGTTGATTTGTTTCTTGACAAATTAGCTCCACCATTTGTCCCATCTATAGATAATATTTCTTCTGACCTACAGTCTTCTCTCCTCTCCCAGCATGATAGTAGCGATTCATTCATTTCCTTTAGCCTTTCAGAACTCAAAGGGGTTCTTTCAAAACTTAGGGACTCAGCCCCAGGTTGTGATGGAATCCCATATTCTTTTCTTCAAAACCTGAACGACTCCTGCCTTTCTTATTTTCTTAGTTTAATTAATTCAATTTTAACAACAGGTAATATTCCTCCATCATGGAAAATCCATGAAGTTATCCCAATACATAAGCCCGACAAACCGATTAATGATCCATCATCTTACAGACCAATTGCATTAGCTTCAGTTATTTCCAAAATTTCCGAACATTTAGTTAAAAATAGGTTAGAATGGTTTATTGAAAGTAAGGGGTTACTATCTCCAAACCAGTTTGGATTTAGGAAAGGTAGGAGTACAATGGATAGTCTCAGCATTTTTATGACAGACTTAAGATTGGCATTTTCGTACAATAACTCTGTGTTAGCAGCATTTTTAGATGTATCTGCAGCCTATGATAATGTCAACCTTTCAATTCTGAAACAAAAAATGATTAATTTGGATATCCCACAAATTTTTATAAGATTCACAATCAATCTTCTCTCTGGTAGAATGCTTAAAGTAATATCAGAAGACTCTTACCAATCCCGTATTGCCTGGAAAGGTATACCCCAGGGCTGAGTTTTAAGTCCCTTAATTTACAATATATATTCTCATGATCTGGAAGCCTCCCTTAAGGGTAAAGTTAGCACACTCCAATATGCAGATGATTTACTCCTCTATGTCTCTGGTGATTCTGTTCACAACATGTCTGATACTATGACATATTCCCTTAAGTTACTAAAAGTTTGGCTTGACAATAACTAATAAATAATAATAATAATAAAAATTCTTTATTTTCTCCACAATCTAAAAACTAATATAGTTATGAACTGGGGTTAACACCAACTGTCTCAGCCTTTCAGTTTCTAAAAGTAGTATAGTCTTATTTTCACGTATGAGGTTTCCTCCTCCAGTGTCTGTACTTTATAATAACATTAGAGTTCCCTTTAAAAGCGAAGCAACATTTCTTGGAGTATTTTAGACTCGAGACTTACAGGCATCCCTCATTGCTACTATATAAGTGCCAAATGTGAGAAGATTCTAAATATACTGCGCTGCCTCTCTGGAGTTTGGTGGGGAGCCCACCCTTTCTCTCTAAAGCTTCTATATAATGCCCTAATAAGGAGTATTTTAGACTATGGAACATTTATTCTTGAACCCTGTAATGCAGTAGCTCTCCATAAGTTAGACATTATCCAGTCTAAGGCTCTGAGAATAATTGCTGGGGCTATGCGTTCGAGCCCTATTAACGCTTTGCAGGTTGAATGTTCTGAAGCGCCCCTGCATCTCAGACGACAATTTCTTTGTGACAGGTTCCTGTTTAGAGCATTCCAAGTCTATAATCATCCTCTTTACTCTAAGTTACGGTCTCTGTTGGAATGTATGGACTATCCGTACTGGGCTCATAAATCGCCGCCATGCCTTATTGTTAGTCTCCAAAAATTCTTAGCTCTTCAAGCTCCAACACATAGATCACAATTCCTTCCTATATTTTGTGTTAACTATGATGCCTTAATTTTAAAACCATCTATTTTGTTTGATTTCGGTGTATGTAAACAAGATCCTTCTGCCAACGCT